ATTTGTTGAGCTTTTAGAATGTGAATTTACTCATTCTTGACAGTGCCTGGGAAATTTTCTCCCAGTATCTCTTTCAAAATTTTCTTAGTGCTTTCCCTTTCTACCTCATGTTCCAGAATTCTGATCATAAATATACTGTTCCTGTTGGTGGTATCACACATCATTCTAATGTTTTCTTCACTTTCCATTCAACTCTTCTGTTTTTCCTTCCAGTATGTTCACATTGAGGCACTTGTCTTCCAGCTAACTGACTCTCTCTTCTCTCATGCATTTGTCCCTTCAGCATGTTAGAAACTTCTCTCATTTAGCCTTTATAATCTATAGTGTTTTGTCATTAATTTCTGTTATTTTGAGTACTGCGTTGGCTGCAATCTGTCTTGCGGTGATTTCTTTAAGTTCATGTACCTCTTTATCTATAGTTAGAATTCTTTCTTCCAACTTTACAATTTCTTCCAGATCTGTTTATGTTCTTTTGAGCCAATATATTTCTTCTGGTTTCTTGTCTCTGGAGGCTTCTATTCTTTCTTCCAGCATTTGTACCTTATTCTGTAGATATTCAAATGACTCCTTGTCATTATATTTCTTCTGCATCTAAGTCTCTGTAGTATACACAGTATTAGGAGAAGGCTTATTTTGTTTATTCACAATGTTTGAAATTGCTTGCTGCTTTCTGTTGCTGATACTACATGAAGTTTTACTTGATATATTTTAGGTCTTTTTTAATGTGTCTGTGTAGGTTGTTGTTTGTTCTTTGTCTTTATTATTGATTAGTTGCAGATTTAAAGTGATCCTTTTACAGTAGAGGGGAATTTGCTACATCAGGAGTCCTTTCTGATTCTTTGCTGTGTAAAAGCTCATTTTTCCTAAAGTCCTTCAAGTTCTATCTTGACTGCAGTGCAGTCTTGCAGAAATAGCACCTGAGTGCTGAATGTAGGATAACTAGATATTGTTAAAGAAGAAATGGAATGCATAAATATTTAAATATTAGGAATTGGTGAGATGGGATGGACTGGCACGGGGCATTTTGAGTCGGATGACCATGTGATATATTACTCTGGAGATGAAAAGGTGAGGAAAAATGGAGTTGCTTTCATAGTTAAAAAAA